CTTAATTTTGAAATTACTGAGGATTACAAGGGGACTTTCAAGTCAAACCCAAATTGTGAGGTCAGCCCAATATATGACTTCAATCAGAGCCTTATGAGAGTGTGTCTATTTCTAACTTTCTCAAATAAAAAGACTGTGGTTTTGTGCCCCATAGTGTGTATAAGTTATTTTATTTGAGGATTCAAAAATGTGAAATAAATGAATGGTTAACTAGAATCTTAGCATATCTCCATGAAGATTCTCATTGAAAAAACATTGCTTTTGGCATTTCCTCATCATTTTGTGCATATCTACCTTGTTCACTTTTAAAAATAACATTAAAAAATTCTCTTATGCTGAACTAAAGATCATTTTTTATTGTATTAGTAGAAATCTGTGTTTTGTAATATTGGAACAGCTACAATAATTCGGAGTAAAAGAATTCCTAAGCACATTTTACAAACATTCTAAATATTATCTAATACACTGTCAATTTGGGCTAGAATTTAAGTAAAGTAGACTTCAAATGAAATTATACAAAGCATATTTTAATGGATTAGACAGTCTCAGGATTTGCACTTTTAATACTGTTTCATTATAAAATTGTGGAGGATTATTATAGAAATTGGTATCATGATTATGATGTAACTCTGGCCTTACCAGCTGTAAGAAATGTTTTATTCCTCTACAACCTGTTGTCACCCTTGGTTCTCCAAACACGTCACAAGTGTCATTATTCCATTTCCTATTAAGGCTGGGGGTTTAGGGTGCTCGCCAGATCACACACAACAAACCCTCGAGGCCCGGCACCCCATTCCCATAATTCTTCATTCTCATAAAAGATGGAAAGCTCACTGCTTCTCTTCCTCTGATTCCCAAACCAACTGCTTAGGTAAGACTTGAGTGTTTTGCTTCTGTCTTTTTAGAATTAGTGACAGATCAGTGACAGAAAGGGAGGTGCTGGAGTTATTAGCACATATTCGTTATTATTCTTACTCACAAAAGCTTGGAAGGCCCCCCAAACCCCACATCACCCCCACAGCCAGTGGCCTGCTTGCCGCTTTTCAGGGCCTATCAAACCATGAAGCCTCCTTCTGTTATCCGTGGACGTAGAGTTCTTGAGGTGCCACGGGGGAAATAATCTCCTGAGACCTCCACAGGAGGACTGGGTTTTGTGGAAAGGGTTATGAATGATGTAAAATTAAGGGGGTTCCCCTTCAAGGTCCCATCTCCGTCTGTCCCGCCATGGAAAAAGTCCCACCGTGTATTCAGCAGAGTCCGAATTCAGGCCACTGCCCAGAATTTCTGCTCCATATGAAAGTCCAGTCCAGTCCAGCATTTGGCTAGGTTAGCTTGTGTTCCCAGCGTTAGTCCATTGCATGTGGGGTCTGCATAGTCAGAGCCATGTGGCTGGTTAAGGCCACATGGTGGGCAAATGAAAGTCACGGAGCAAGAGAGAGTAAGGGGGAACCAGAAGGCAGGAGAGGGGGAACTCTTTGGGGATTTTACCTTTCCAAGATTTCACGTGCTCGCAGTGGCTTCGCCCTCCTAGCCAATGGGATCTTGTCCCCAGGCTAAACTGACAGGCAAGCACCTTCTCTACATCACCCAGACTTCACTGCGCACGCCCCATCACCCCCTCTGATCCCTGATCCCTTCCCTGATCTGCAGGGAATGAACTGGTGGTTCCCTGGGGATGGTGAAACTGTAGCTTCTTGGTGAAGCTGCCCGGATGACCATGCTTACAATGCCTGGCCTCCCTTTGCTCTCTTCCCATTATTAATATTAATAACGAGGCGATTATGATGATAACACTTCCTTACCTCTGTGCTTGCTCACCTCGTCACCATCCTTCCCTAGGAGATGGAAGGGTGTATCAAAGCAAAAGAAAGCATCAGTGGCTATTTCTTCCCCTTCTCTCCCAGTTGAATATTGTTTCAGCACCTTGTGTATACACCCGTTTTAATTATGAAATATCTATCTTGCAAGGCAGTTCTTTGCTTTTTGAAGACTTTAGGGAAAAATTATTTTAAAATTAACATGGTGATTAGGAAGCAAGGCAAGCATGAAGTATCTTGTATAGACTCAGCTGCCTTTTCTTGTGAAAGGAAGACTTTAAATTCATTTCCAAAAATGCCATGAGCAGCTCCTTTGGGCCATTACCACTTGCCCTCTGTCCTCTTTACAAGTTATAAGCCACTTCGTGTATTTGCCTCATAGAACAATTAGGCTCCACCCTGGGGAGCCTCCCTGGTGATAAATAACTAATTGAAGTGTTTCCTATGAGGAAGGCAGGCTGGCCCCAGAACTTCAATCTTTCTCAGAGCAGCCACTGTTTAAAACAGGTGTTAGAGTGCTACCGAGGTCCTAAACCAACCCAGACAAGGAGGACTTTTACAAAACTTGGCTGAAAATAATTTTCTTTTACTACAATGTTTTCTATTTGAGGCAAGGGCAGGAGAAGAGGAAGTTAAATCAGGGATAATAACACATAGCTGTAACATTGTAATGACATGATTTTTTTTTTTTTTGGCAGAGCAGGCTATCTAGTGTTGAAATAAAGTTTTCACATAAAAATATCCACAAATCAGAATCTTACAGCCCTGCACAATTCAACAGTTTGATTCAGTAAATGTTTATGGAATTTCCGAGGGCAGAGCTACTTAATTTGAGATCCAGGAAATTTCACAGCATCCAGGATATTTCTTTTTTATTTTTTTTAATATATATTTATTGATTTCAGAGAGGAAAGGAGAGAGAGAGATAGAAACATCAATGATGAGAGAGAATCATTGATCGGCTGCCTCCTGCACACCCCCTACTGGGGATCAAGCCCACAACCCGGGCCTGTGCCCTTGACCCAAATTGAACCCAGGACCTTTCAGTCCGCAGGCTGATGCTCTATCCGCTGAGCCAAACCAGCCAGGGCATATTTCTTAAAGATATACACTCCTGAGACCTACTGTAAGCTACTGAAACAGAATCTTCCAGGGTGAGGCTGGGCTTCTGCTCAGTAAGGAGACTTTCTGGGTGATTCTTAAGCACATAAGGTCTAAACCACCAAATATTGTTGTCTGTTTCACTCATTGATGTATCCAGGTGCCTAGAACAGCAATGGACACAGCTCAATAAATAGCTGTTGAATGAATGAAGGTCCCAAGTGCCTGAGGCCCGTGGAGGCTACAGGTATGGATATCTTCCACACCATCTAATCCAATGGATGTCATAAAACAAGTGTAACGTGAAGGAGACACCAAAGTTTTGTACCCCAAAATACGCTTTTTTGGGATATTGATTATTAAACTGGTTTTTAAGAAACAAAAGACTCAGAACCTTTGACCCTCTCCTTTAACTGCTTGGAAAAACCTGCTTAAAGGAAGGGAACATCACTTAGCATCCTAATATAAACGAAAGAAGTCTAGCAAAGCTTGTTAGCTGTATTTGCCTCTGTGTCCCATTGTTTCTGGGTGGTCCAGCAAAAATTTGTTTACATATTTGCTCTTTCCCCATCTACCTGTAAATGACCTGCTTTCCATCTGAAATCCCAGACCCCTGCCTCCTTCTCCTCGGTCCAAAATGGCATATGAACTTCGACTGCTCAGTGCATCTTCCGGTCCCATTCTTATGGCACCCCCCAATGTACATTCGTAGACTTTGTCTCCTGTTAATGTTAATCTGTTTCATGTTCATTTGGTTATAAGTCCTGCAGAATTTAGATGGGGAGAGGAAAATTATTTTCTTCACAAATGTCATATCCCCCAAGGGACCTTCCTACCTAGACTAGGGGGGTGGGGGGGAGCTCTCTTATCTCTGCCCAACAGCCTCAGCAAATTGTCCCCACCTTAACAGACCTCTCCCTGCCTGCACTTAACTGCAAAAGCTATAAGACTAGCCTCACAGCCTTGCATCCTTAAAACTTAAAAAAAAAGGGGGGGGGGGATTAATAAAACTAATTAAGGAAAAAACAGGATCCTAGATCCCGCATGTAAATACTAGTATCTCTCTGCTCACCACCCCAAACTGAAGCTCGGCAAACTTCTCTAAGCCATATTTCACTTGTAGGTAGAACAGTCAAGAGATTGTTTCCTTCACAATCATTCAAACCACAGGAGAGGACAAGCGAAATGCAGTCTTGCTTTTGCATATACTGTGCTAAGACTGCATTTTACAATTTATTAAGAACCCACTGTATCCTTAACAGGTAAGAGGTTTAAAGAACTGGTAAATCTATACAATGGAATGCGACTCCGTAATAACAAAGAAAAACCATTGATACACAAAACATGAATCTCAAATGCATTATGCTAATGGGAAAGTATGTAACCTCAAAAGATTACACACACTGTAGGATCCTCTTATGACATCCAGGAAAAGGCAAAATTAAAGGAAGGGGGAATGAATCAGTGGTTGTCTAATCAGGGTTAGGAGTAGGGGACAAGTTTTACTACAAGGGAATTTTGGGGGGTGATGGAACAATTCTGTATTCTGTTTGAGGTGGTAACTGCATGAACCTATGCATGTGTTAAAACTCAACTGTACCCCACCCCAAACAGTTAATTTACTGAATGTAAATTATATTTAAAAAGAATCCGCCCAGCCCGCATGGTTCAGTGGTTGAGCTTCGACCTATCAGCCAGCAGGTTACGGTTTGATTCCTAGTCAGGGCATATGCCTGGGTTGTGGGCTCAATCCCCAGTAGGGGATGTGCAGGAGGCAGCCAATTGATGATTCTCTCTCATCATTGATGTTTCCATCTCTCTCTCCCTCTCCCTTCCTCTCTGAAATCAATAAAAATATATTATATTAAAAAAAAGAATCCCTTGCATACACAACATAAACTCATTAGGTCTCTGAGGGCCCTGAGACTATTTCCTTCCTTGATCAATCAGTTTGTCAATGTGGCACATACAGAAACACGTGGTCTTGTAGTATGAGTGTGAAAGTGAGGGAACACTGTTATACACATCTATGGTCAGTATATCACAACTGGAGCCAAATTTAGCATGTGATCAACTGGAAGCCACTTTGTAGAAAATTCCTTTATTATAGTGCAAATAACTTTCAGCAGTGACATAATAATGTAAGAACACATTTAGCACATTTTACACCACGCAGTAAATAAGAAAGTGTTTCTTTGAAAATAATTCATCAGAGGGACACTATTTCATTAATGCCAGAAAACGCCAAGGCTGTTTCCCTCTTTTTGGATATTTTCTTTTTAATACAAATGAAAGGATTTGTCACTTTAACAAATCGCCATCAATTCTAAGAGTGATTTTTGAATTGAGGCTGGCAAGATTTAAAATGGGGTTTCAAGTAAAAAAAAAAGAAAAGAATTTTAAGACAATTTTGGGTTAGCCCAGCAAGTAGAAGTCATTTCTATTAACTTGTAAGTATATACAAACATTCACTCCAATTTTGATGCAGAAATGGACAGATTGTCTACAGCCTGCCTTTATTCCCCCCGAGCCTGATTGTTCATTACACTCCTTGGTTTTGGTCACATTGCGAAATGAGGACTCTGGTCAGAAATAACTCCTTACATACCCAAGTGCTTTCGTGTGAAGCTTTAAATTGCACTTTCCATACTGAATTCCCACCTTGGGCCTCACATGGCCCTGAGAGGACATGAACAGTGTTTCCAGTTTACAGCTGGAGTAGGCCCCTGCTAATTTACCTGCAGCTGAACCAAACTATCACATCCTTTAGATTAATTCCAATAGGCTTTACCAAAACCTCCGAGAGAAACGAAAGGTTAACAGCCTGTCTTTACATTACACTGCCTAAGGGCTTGGCTGCTAACCAGTTAGCCGGCAGGTAGAGAGTACAGTGTCCACTCCAATCAGTTACACTCCCAACGCCTCTGGTTTCTGCTGAATTATGCAGTGGGTGGGAATGGATGGCCACTCAAAGGAAACCTCCCGTGGGTTCTTCCACCACAAGTAGAATAAAAACCCAACACATATCCTTCAGGACCATGAGAAATTAATCACAGGCTTGAAAATACCTGGAGCCACAGACAGCCCTCTTGGCTGATTAAGTCAGCTGGCCCATACAGCTTTTCAATGCTCAGCCAGTCTTGTTGGGTAAAGGATCTTCTTATATAACACAATGGAACTGTGCTACACAGTTTCAAAGGTTAGAAGAATCCAAATACATCGCCTATAAAAAAGTCACCATTTTAGTTTTCTTTTTCTTAGACTTTGGTACTGAAACACTGTCTACATTCTCGACACGTGGAAATGACGTGGCCACTTCAGTGCCTCTGCATGTTGTGTAAAAAAAAAACTCAAAAGCAAAGCAGGACAAGGACGTGTCATAACAAGACATGGTATGCTGTACAAACAAAACCTAAATTATATATAAATACACCCCCACCCTAGCACCCCTTCCCCCCCACCCCATTCTACCTGACCAAGCAATGCCAAAGGTCCTTCTCTCCAGGGCCAATGGGGTTTGGGAAATTCAGCACCCAGGACGCCGACCATCCCTTGCCTCTCGATGACATTGATGGCAGTGCAGGCTCCTCCTGGAGAGGCACTGCTGTTTGATCAGTTCCACAAGTGCAGGGAAACTCCTACAGCTTAATCGGGAAGCACGCGTCCTATTGGTTGGACTCAAAGACCTGGAGTTCTGGGAGTTAACCTTTCAGATAAGCTAATTGGATCATTTCCTAATCTGGATCCTGTCTTATCCTAGTATCTCAGCAGAGCCAACAAAGTAGGAACCGTCCTCTACTCTGCAGCTGCAAAGGCATTGCTTGGGGATATTGGTGAGGGTCATATAATAAAAGGGATGCAATGAGCTAATAGCTTAAGTTGATATAAATTATTTGCAAGTAAGTTATTTGGGGCCAGTGGCTCCTGCTTTACATTGCATTCCAGAATCATTTTCATATTATACTCTTAAAAGTTTATATAATAGTCATTTAAAAACTGTCTATGCAATCACCTCTTATATGTTGTCAATTAGTTTAATAGCAACTTAAGGAGCCATTATGTAAATCTAGGAAAAAGTAGCTAGTCAGTCTTAAGGAAGCCAATACTGTGTTAATTCACAGGAAGGAGAAAAAGCAATGTAAATAGAATTTTACATTAATTGTCAATAACTCCAAAACCAGTTCTACCAAAATGTTGCAGTCTTTCCAAAAGCACTTACAGCAATTTATATCAAGAGATCCTAAATATAGGGGTCTGGAGGATATGACTCAATTGTTTAAGGTAGAAATTCACCTGTTACATGATTGTAATATGTATCTTTTCCCCCTTGGACCTAAGATATTTGTACATTCAAAAGTTCCTAACTTGTTGTTCTTGAGATATTAATCATTTTCTAATACATATGTTGAGCATAAATAAATATGAGAAAGCTTTAAAAATCTGAATTAACATTATCCTGTGCAAAAAAACCAAAACAAAATAAAAAAAAAAACAAAACCCCCCAAAACAAAAAAACAACCACACAAACCTTGAACAACCTACATTCTATGTTAATACCCTGACTAAAATGTTGGTTGTGCTACGCAATTCCACTTCAGTGCAGAAATGAGTTGATTTCGGTGTACCGTCTTTGTTGTTAAGTCTTTAGCACTTTTTGTTTCTAAACATCACCTTGCTTTGAAAAGATGAATAACTCGCTACCAAATCACAAATCATCACAAATCCATTTCAGTTTAGGTCTGAATAAAATCCAGCATAAATGTTATTACTTTGTTCTGGGAATAATGGCTCGGTGTCTTTGTTCCGACAGCTTCCTAAGGGCAAACCTTGGTTGAAGTTGTCATTTGGGTTTCAACTGCAAAGAAGAGACAGTGAAGCTTGCCTTTTGTTTTTGTTTTCTTTTTAAGTCTCCAGATGTTGTTAAGACACTTCTTCCAGACCAACAGTCAGATAGTTGTGGCACCTGATCCGATTTGAAATGGAGGTGGTTGAAACACCATCAGCCAAGCTTAGTGATCTGGAGGTCCCCGTTTATCTTTATGGTGTCAATTGCAGATAACGTTTGAACGCGGTGGTAAAAATCAAAAAGTTGATGTCCATCCACAAACACTCTGAAACGTGGGTGCTCGCAGAGAATTTCCACCTGGAAGAAACAGAATAGTCAATCTCAGTTCACAATTTCAATGAACCCTGCTAGGGAAAACAAACAGTCTTTCACTTTAGAGCAGTGGTTCTCAACCTTCCTAATGCCGCGACCCCTTAATACAGTTCCTTATGTTGTGATGACCTCCGATTTCGTTGTTACAAATAGAACATAATTAAAGCATAGTGATTAAGTACAGTACCTTATGTTGTGGTGACCTCCGATTTCGTTGTTACAAATTGAACATAATTAAAGCATAGTGATTAATCACAAAAAATATGTAATTATATATGTGTTTTCCGATGGTCTTAGGCAACCCCTATGAAAGGGTCGTTCGACCCCCAAGGGCGTCGCGACCCACAGGTTGAGAACCGCTGCTTTAGAGAAAGAACGGCAACATCTTCAGTGGTTCTCACATGTTGGAGTGCATCGGAATATAATACAGAACGTTTGTTAGAACACAGATTGCTGGGCCTCACCTCCAAGATTTTCATTTTAGTAGGTCTAATGTGATTTCTAAAAAAAATCTACATTTCCACCAAGTTCCAAGGGAATGCTGTTTTTGCTGGAAGGAGGAACACACTTTGTCAACCATTGCTCTACACTATTTAATATCCTTTAAAGATTTAAAATTGCTCATGCTTTAACACTCCAGAGAGCATAGCTTTATTGATATGGCACTTAATGCCTCCACTGTCATCCCCCTGAACAATCTATCCCACCTTCAGAGGAGCCTCTCATAAGGCAGAACTGGTATGCATTAGTAGCATGTAATAATAGTCTAGACACTCCAACCTGGTCAACACTAAAGCAAAGAGGTTACAGAGTAATTACCATTGGACCAAGGATGTATAATTAACAAGGCTTTGTTAAGACAGACAGAAATACTGATTCCATATGGTAAAAGGTTTTTCTTCCTCTCTTCCTTAAGTAATTCACCATAGAGTTTAATCATTGGTTCTATGCTATGTATTTATTAAAAGCATTAGTATTCACCATGCAAGGAGAGACTCCATATGTGATGTTAGTCACATTTAATTCGTATTATTACCAAACTTATGTCACCAAGGAGGGCCAACATCATTTCAATTTTGTTGTTGGGAAGCATTATATTCCTCTTGGCAGTCAGGAGCTCTGCTTACTCACACTCCTGAGCTATGCATTAAGATTCATAATTAAGAAACTGTCACAGTCAAGAGTAGCCGAAGGGGTCATTACCATTTTAGAGAAAGGAAAGGGCAGGGATCATGGGTGGGGTGCCTTTCCCAGACTATGATTAGAAGGGCAACAATCTCAATGTGACCACTGATATGAAAAGTCATGGATTCTTATGTTTCCCCCCAGAACATAATTACTTCTTCATAAGGCCCTTATAAATTTCTAGATGAAGAGCAAAGGTAGGTAGTTCTGCTTTGTTAGGAGTATATGCAACATAGAGCTTTCAACTGAGTTGTCATTATTGTGATTTTTGTTAACAAGGTATAATGTGGACAACTTCATCAGCAGGTCTCACATTTTTAGTAAGTCCTTTCTTAACACATTACTGACTTGCATCTCTTACTTGGTGTTGTCCTTCATAGAGGAAGGTGCTGCTAATGCATCTTAATTGGATGGGAAGTTAGGGCTGAGCTTCCGGCTTGCTAGATAGTGAGGAGCAAATCTATACTCATCCAGCTCCAAGGGAAAGATTTGTCAGCCACACAGCCTGTGACAAAGACACAGACTGAGGCTACTTAACCCATAGGAGGAAACAAAGATATAGCCAGGCCTTGAAATTCCAACCACTATATTCTTTAAAGAGTTATAACTAATAAGATTTAATGCTTCTTAAAGGTTGAGAAAAAGTGAGGACAACTCATATTTATTAATCAATCAACTATTTTTGGGACAAGTATCTATTATATACTTAATACTATGTGAAGCACTACATAGAAAGTATTCTTAACAATCAGGACACATAAATATGGATTTACTTACTAAATGTATTAGCTAAGAGCTACCATGGCGAGTATTAATTCAAATCAGCACACAGTTCTTTTGATCTTTTTTCACCATCGGGTGACAAATTTCTTGGACATGCAGAAATTCTGGCTGCTTCAAGCGTTCTTGGCAACACTAGAGGAGGAAAACATCCTCACCCTGCCAGGGGCTGGAGCTGGAGCACTCGAGGTACTCACCCTGAATGGCTGGTCTGGGATGAATGGAAAGTAAGGGATCGCTGATTGTTCCTCGCCCCTTTCGCCAGATATACAAGAATTTCTGAGTAGCTGCCGGTCTGTGAACACAGCTTTGAGTTCAATTGCCACATCAGCTGGAGGATCTTCTGAGTCACCACAGGTCAAGCTGATGGCAAAACTGGTAAGAAAATCGTCTCATTTATTCCAGGTTGGACATAACAACATTTAACAATGACCCAGGCTCCCACATTTTCTCCTTCTTCTCGGGATTTGTCTGCTTTTCATGGGATACTACTCTTTACCCAGGTGAGACTAGGTATGGAGAAGTGGCATTATAATCAAGCCAGTTATTTTGTTACATAAAGGAGGCTCTGGTGGAGTTGAAAATGACTCACATTGGGGATTTCAGATACCCCAAACCATTCACACATCTTTTATCTTAATCCATTTCAGAATTCTCAAAAACAGCCCCCAAAACTGATCAGGGGAAATAATATCTTGTAAATTTGGTTCTCATTTATATCGATAGTTCTCACTCCAAGCACCATGTTTTAAAACTACAAAAAACAAGTCCTTTGGCCTCCCTAAGGGTCAAAGAAAAAATGATGTGGGCCTATATTTATAATCTCTAGATATAAATAGCTGTCTGGAGAAATGATGGCTGGGATTCATACACATTCTTTTCATGGGAACATGGTACTTTCTTGGCACTTCCAACTAGCAACACTGGCCACAGGGAGAGGAAGAGGAGGAGCAGTACATAGGAGGGGGCAGGGCCTTGTCACTGCCTGATAGCTCTGCCTTACCTCTCAGGGTTGAGGTCAACGATGCCCATCACTAACACCTTCTTGCCTGGTCTCATGCCACCTTTAATATGCCCACAAAATGGAACTATCTGCAAGGGGAAACAGGAAGTTTACAGCCTGCAAGGGGAAGAGCCAAGCCCTCAGATCCTGAGGACCTGACCCATTAGAAAATGCAATTAGAAAGGAAGAGGGTGCCGGCAGAGAGACAGAGCCCAGAAAAAAAAAATCATTTACCAGTCGTGGGAAGTACACGTCGGCTTGCACTGGAGAGCCCAAAGAGTTGTTTAAATGTCCATCATCTAGTTTCTAAAAATAGAAGCACATAGATTGGCTTTTTAAAGGCTCTTGTTTTGAGGGGTGGGAGTTCGGGAAGAACCTACACAAATCTGGAGGAATCCAGCAGCCCTTACAGAATACAGGCAGCGTCTGCAGATGCTGCCGCCTCACAGTCCATTGAATAACCGCATAAATCCTCGGAACAAAACCCGTTCTTTCCACCTGGTAGCTAAGCCTCTAAAGATCCCCGGACCCTTCAGATCTAGATCAAAATCAAGGTCGTGGCACACCGGGAAGCCAGAGCCCAGCCCCGGAGGAGGGTAGGCCCCTCTCTAACCGCGAACGCATCTGGACGCGCGGTCTCCCAGGCCTGTCCTCCCGGACGTGGCTGGAGTGCAGCAGCCGCGCTCAACTTCTCCCGGGAGCCACTGGCGCCGACCCATTCCAAGGGGGAATCCCCGGTCGGGGGCGGACGCGGGGTGCGCGCGCCCCGATACACTCACGCACGCGCACCCTCACACGTGCACCGTGCACAC